AAAATTCAATTCAAAATTCAATTCAAAATTTGGTGCCTCTTGTTGGCAGCATTTTTCTCCACCCAGTTGTACTTGTAAAGTTGTAGAGTAACTTTGAAAAACATTTATGTCGTTCAAACTTAACATCTGAGAGATGAACGTACCTGGACTTAAGGCAAAATTCACTTATTGCTCTCACGCCAGTGATGAAGTTATTCTTGGTGTACTTTGGTCCATAGTCTCTTTTTTTAAGCACAGCTTTCACTTGAAAAGAGAAGGGGGGGGAGATTTACACACGGAGGTTGGGAGCTTATAAGATACAAGTCGGAAGCCGACTTACAACAGTTCGTTTAGTGAACATTCGGAGTTACAACAGCACTGAAAAAGGTGATTTATGACCATTGTTCACACTTATCATTGTTGCAGCATCTCTATGGCCCTGGGATTTACATTCAGATGCTTGACAACTGACTCACATTTATGACGGTTGCAGTATCCTGGAGTCACATGATCCTCCTTTGCGACAAGCCAATTCAATGGGGAAACCAGATTCACTTAACAACTGTTGTTACTAATTTAAGAACTGCAGTGATTCACTTAATAAATGCCTTGAGAAAAAGTGATAAAATGGGGCAAAGCTCACTTAACAAATGTTTCACTTAGCAAAAGAAATTTTGGGCTCAATTATGGTCGTGTGTCAAGGACTCCTTGTGCTAATGTAACACATTTTCACCTACTGGATTAAGCCCACCAGCACTTATTCTAATTCATCATAGAGATTAGATGTGATCTGGTTGTAAAACTTGAAAAGTGAATGACAAAACCAAAAGGAGTTTCTCAGTCAGTAGAGCAGTGAGAATGATACTTTATTACCAACCAAGAATGGACTTATTTAAAAATTAAATTGGATTTGTAGTCCGAATACCCTTGTAGGTAAATACAGATTATTGTCTTTGGTAGCTTTATCAAAAAGGGATTCTAAAACCATCTTAAACATCTAGGCATGCCCACAGAAGGACATCAATTACCTTTGACTTGAATTGGTTGCTGTGGGAAAGGAATTTGATTGATAGCGTCTCGGGCTGGAAAAATAAAAGACATAGCCATATTGCTGTGTTTGTGTTGTAAGAATAAAACAGAAAGATATTAGGACAGCATTATTTGGCAAATGGAATGGACATTGGAAGAAAGCAATTTCAAATTTTCTACATAAATCTTCCAGGGATTTGTTTCAGGCATGAAATCCTATTATCTTTGCTACCAGTTTGGAACTGGGGAGCCCGCACTTCTGCACATGCGCAGAACCTTCAACGCATACGCAGAGCATCTGTGGTGACATCTGAGTGGGTGGAGCCTCTTGCCAGCGCCGCTACCAGCTCGCCCGAACTGGGGCGAACTGGCAGAATAAAACCTCTGATTTATTTCCCTCCTGTGCTACTCCACAATTCAAATTTTAATCGGTTCACTTGACCACCAAAAACGTCCTTTATATTGTAAGGACACAACAAAAGAAACACCCGTGTCTTGTGGATAGATTGTGGTATTTTGTCTTAAATGTCAGAAAGAAAGGAAGTGAGAATTCTTTTAGCTCTGAAATATTCTTTTGCATTCTAGGGCACAATTCACTCCAAGTTAAAAACTACACAATACCACTGATTTTACGAAGAGTAAAATGTATCACAGATACATGATCATACATCTTTAATTAGCAGCCTGAAGTATTGAGTTATGACCTCAGTAACAAAGTTACTATGTGGTTGCTTTATTTCCTGGACAGCAACCATATATCCGCTACCGGTAAATTGAAATTAATTCCACTAAATTAAAGACATTAGAATTCGCCTTCTGAATGGAGGACCTTGGCAAGAAAGTATCTTTCTGTTAATAACAAGCATGCTTGACTCATGGCATGAATTAGTTTTTAGAAAAACACAACTCCTTGATTTTAAGACAAGAATTTCTCCTCGAACTTGGGAGAAAAAGGCAACAAAATCAGAATAATCTTTTCAATTAAATAAGATGCACAGAACAGACCTAAACGTACACATTTTTATTTGTTCCAATACACAGTGGAAACTTGTTGAGCCTCCTTGAAAATAGAGTTGTTCCCAATAGAACTTTTTAAAAAGCTAAACGTTAGCTATAAAGGTGTTTTCTGTTCTTATCTCTGCAGCATTAAAATTACAATCACACAGTTATTATATGATATGGGAATTAGAGAATAAAAATGGAAGATGGAAATAAAAGGAGATTAAAGAAGAGTAGAAAATATGTTAAGATAGAGATGTTAATATAATAATAGTTAGTATGGGGAGGATTATTATGCTTAATGTTATTATTACATTTTCATTATAAGATAAATTAAGAGGGGGAAATGAACAGGTTTACTATGTTCAACTGTTTAATAGTCTATAATTCTAAGATTAGAGAATCAATGAATAATGTTGTAAACTTAAAAAACTTTAAAAAATACAGTCACATGTTTTCAATGGGGAAGCCAGAGCTAGAAGTCAAATACAATTCCTTTCATGTTTCCCAGTAGTATTTTCCCCCTGTAAAATGAACAGGGGGGTTTGAGAAATTAACATGTAAACTCTGATCAGGAAAAAGAGTCACGTAACAACATGTCTTAACGGAGTATTGGTCATTTCAAGGAGGGTTACGCATCTTCTCTGTACATATATCTAAAAGGTCTAACAAAAATGTATTGCTCAAAAGCAATAGCAATAGCAGTAGACTTATATACCGCTTCATAGGCCTTTCAGGCCTCTCTAAGCGGTTTACAGAGAGTCAGCATATTGCCCCCA